GATAGATCTGGTATCATACCTAACTCATGGCAGCAATCTATAATTATCCCAATCTTTAAAAAGGGTGACAAAAAGCTGCCATCCAATTATCGGCCAATATCGGTCTACTGTCAAACATCGGGAAATTGTACGCTAAACATCTGTTAAATAAACTAACTACTTGGCTTATGGCTTCCTGGGTCTGCCTCTCATGTTCTGCCTATGTGTTTAAGCAGACACCTAATTATTCTAATTGCTGAGATTTTCTGGATATTTCCCCCCCATAATTATTCCAAATTTTTGACTTGTTCTTTGGAATTTGATCAAAAGTCTTAGTATCATTTAAGGACAATTGGTATTTTATGGATTTGACAGACATATATAATATTTAAAGCTCACCCAATCAATCAGAAATTTATCTGTCTTTGATTATTGATCTGAACATACATAATTTGATTTAAATGTTTTGCTTGAATTAATAATTATAAGGTACTGATTAGTAATAGTAATGGGTAAAATTAGAAAATACAGAGTTGTTAGACATAGAAGGATTTGATAACAGATTTGGGTGGCACGCCTACTTATGGCATGAAAAAAAGAAAATCCATAAAGGTTTTGAGAACCACATTTTCCGAAGATCGTTGATAGAAATATGGGATAGGTATAAAAACCTACTCGAACCAAAAATCCCGCACTGGTTATCTCCATTAGAGGTTATGAGTGTTAAAAAAATCAATATGAGAAGGAATTGGATTACATATGGAAATCTGATTGTTAAGGAAGGGGGGAAATGGAAAATGAAACCCTATGAAGAAGTAAAAGAGTATGTATATGATTGGTTGCATTATTTTCAAATAACTGAAATGTTTAAAAAGGATCTTAAAGAATATGGATATACAGAGAAAGATTCAAAATTTCAAATAGAAATAATAAATAATGAATATAACATCTTATCTAAAATGTATAAGATATTGCTGGAATGGCATACAAAAGATGAAGAAGTTAAATCTGTCATGATACAATGGGCCAGAGATTTTGGCCACAATATACAATTTAAAGATTGGATTAAATTATGGAATGAAAACATTAAGTTTACTGCATGTACTGCATTAAAGGAAAATGTTATGAAAATGATTTATAGATGGTACATTACACCGGTAAAACTTGCAAAAATGTGTAAAACATGTAAGAAATGTTGGAAATGTAAAGAAAAGGATGGTACTTTTTATCATATGTGGTGGGAATGTAAGAAAGTGAAGAGCTTCTGGAAATTGATATATAAAGAATTGAAAAAAAGTTGAAATACACATTTGCTAAGAAACCAGAGGCTTTCCTTTTAGGAATCATAGGAAATGAAATAAACAGAAAGGACTGTAAACTTTTCCAATATGCAGTAACAGCGGCAAGAATATTCTTGGCCCAGAGATGGAAACAGGAACAAGTACCTACTTTGGAGGAGTGGAGAATGAAGCTGATGGACTATGCAGAACTTGATAAAATGACAGGGAAGATCAGATACCAACGAGATCAAAAGTTTATCGAGGACTGGGGAAAATTAGTCGAGTATTGGGGAGGTATAAGTGATAATGAAATAACGTTAGTGGCATTTAAAGAAGCTCTGTAAAAACTTAAGAAATATTGTAAGAAAGAAAAACAGGTGTGGATGGGTATGTTAAAAGGCAATAGGAAATTCAGGAAATGTGTAACTAAAAATTTTAATTCAGATGATTGTCAGAATGACTGATGGAAGTCCAAAAATGACAAAATTTGTTAAGTTGATATGTTTATCTATTTTACTTTTGGTGAAAATTAATAAAAATATTATTAAAAAAAAGTAATAGTAATGGGCATCTTATTTGTATGCAGCCTTTCCATAGTTAAAACCATGATCAAGGCGGCTTACAACATGAAAAGCTGTGCATAATTACAAGCATAACAAAAGTAGTCAGTATATAAAACACATCAAAAAGTACACAGCAAAATTTAACAATTTCCACATAAATCACAATAAGGTCTAAATATAAAGATACAAAGAATAATAATAATCTCCCCAACAAAAACCTGTAAACAATAGCCCAGCCCAAGAGTCAGTGTCCTCCTGTTTTTCCCCTGGTTTCCTAAGACAATTATTCTGGATATCTTCCATGAATCAGGACTGGGCTCATCTTGCATAATTCAATTAAATAATATCTGGTACTTGCGTTTTCATGCATTGCTTTGCTCTCTATTTATTTTCTGGTCAAGTATTGGGCAAAGATCCCAAATGTAGCATGTTTTAACAAGATTCTTACCCACTCAGCATTAATGAGGAAGGAAGCTGTCCATCACTGGTAGATTTATTCCATCTCCTTGTTTAAAATTTAGATCATAGCTAAGTTGTATTGGCTGTGGAGTATCTGTTTCCATCACCAAATAGGTTTGATTACTAATGTAGTTTATATGATTCCACCAATGGCAGACTCAAGTGGTCCACCATAAACACAGCTGACTAGTTTAGCTGAGTGGTGTTATGAAAAGATTTCATGTGATGGGTTAGTGCAAAGAAGCCAAAATCATCTCCATACTCACCACCCACCTTTCCTGTATTCAGTTGCATTGGAGGAATCATTCTAGAGTCTCAATTTACTACTTTGGCATGCTGTCATTTCATGAGACTGACTCAAGTGACATGAAGAAGAAGAAGAAGAAGAAGAAGAAGAAGAAGAAGAAGAAGAAGAAGAAGAGTTGTTTGGATTGGATATCCCGCCTTTCACTCCCTTTTAAGGAGTCTCAAAGCGGCTAACATTCTCCTTTCCCTTCCTCCCCCACAACAAACACTCTGTGAGGTGAGTGAGGCTGAGAAACTTCAAAGAAGTGTGACTAGCCCAAGGTCACCCAGCAGCTGCATGTGGAGGAGCGGAGACACGAACCCGGTTCCCCAGATTACGAGACTACCGCTCTTAACCACTACACCACACTGGCGATCTGGAAACTGTTGATCAAGTTTACTGTACTTATCTCAGTCCCAGCTATTGATTTATGCTTTAAATGCTTGTGGATGAGCATGAATCTTGTGAAACCTGAATTTCTTGTGAAAGTCCAGGAGCTCAACTTTGTTTTTCTGGCAAAGTTGAAGTTTGCAGATTCCATTCCAGCCACCCACCCACCCACCCGCAAATTGTAACTGCATTCTTCCTGATGTGAGATTCAAATGACTTTTGTGTTTGTTTTTGCTTTTCCTAAAGATGCTCAAAATCTCTATCCTTGGAAAACATCTGAATGAACACCAGTTTCCCTACAGACACTTCTAGATTTAATAGCCCTCTTGGTAGGTCTGCTTCCCTCAGGAGTCCGGGGGGGGGGGGTGGCCCAGGTGAGGGCATTTTCTGTGGCATCCCCTAAATTGTGAACTTCCCTCCCCACAGAGGTGTGTGTGGCTTCTTCACTGTACAGCTTTTGGTGAATAATGGAGAGACGCCTCTTTACCTTGGACTTCAACATCCAAGGTGTCTGCTCTCAGGGCCCACCTGTGACAGTAATCTGTTTTAACTGTTTTCAATTCTGAATTGTGAATTATAATTTGAATAATAACCTACCCTGGGACCTGCTGCTGAAGGGGGTCATAAGAATCAGAATAATAATGCATTAAAAAAACCTAATGCAGAGGAATAACTTGCTATAGGAAAAGTCCTAGAAGTGAAAATGACAGAACACTACTTGTCATCAAGAGCTCCTAGCTGAAACCACTCCAGTATATCAGCAATGAGCAACAGTCGCAATGAGCAACAGTCCTGAATTGGAAGAGATGCAACAGGGGACCTAAAGGCTGGATAAGTATAACAGTACTAGTAGTATTTAGTAGTAGTAAAGGGATGCAGGTGGCGCTGTGGTCTAAGCCACTGAGCATCTTGGGCTTGCCGATCGGAAGGACGGCGGTTCGAATCCCTGCAACAGGGTGAGCTCCCGTTGCTCTGTCCTAGCTACTGCCAACCTAGCAGTTTGAAAGCATACCAGTCCAACTAGATAAATAGGTACCACTGTGGTGGGAAGGTAAACAGCGTTTCTGTGCGCTCTGGTTTCCATCATCGTGTCCTGTTGCGCCAGAAGCGGATTAGTCGTGCTGGCCACATGACCTGGAAAGCTGTCTGTGGACAAACGCTGGCTCCCTTGGCCTGAAGTGAGATGAGTGCCGCACCCCATAGTCACCTTTGACTGGACTTTACCGTCCAGGGGTCCTTTACCTTTACCTTTTACCTTTTAGTAGTAGTAAACTTATTAAATAGTAATTTTTAATGGGTGGGTTATTCTTGTGGTTGTTCTGCTGCCTTGGGAAAGGGCATTCATATTTGACTTGTGAACAGGAGCCCCCCTTTCTGCTGCGTTCAAATTCATCTTGCTCACTGTCTTTTGAGGAGACTCATTCTGCGTGCCTCTCCCCAACTCAGTACTTCGCTCTAGGAGACCAGTAAAGCTTTTCTGTCCACAGCTGCCTCTTATCCGCCTCACAGGCAGTGAGAGAGTGTGTGTGTTGCTGGGTGATTAATCTCTTGTGCTTGAATAATTGGCCAAGGCGGCGATTAATAACCCCCCACCCTTCTCCAATCTTAGACACAGTGCTGCCTGGTAAACATGGGCCTTTTACTAACTGTGACTGGGGATGTTCCGACTGTTGGGACACAAAAGAACAGCACCAGTGTTATTGTAAAGGCTGCAAGGCCCAGAGCCACCAAGGTAGGCCGTGTGTTAGGATCCAGGGTCAGATGTGTTTGACGGTGAAGGGTCACTGCGGCGGGAGGTTTGTTTGTGGAGGGCTTGCAGCGATGGGAATGTCGGTTGTCACTTAGGGGCTGAGGAGCAGGCTGCCAGCCTGAGGGGGGAAATGCCTGACAAGTTTGGACTAGGAGGTGAGTTGATGAGCTGAGAGGTGAAAATTCACAGCTCAGCGCAAGGGGCTTCTCCTGAAGAGGTGTTTTATGTGAGGGGGGAGATGCAGAGATGCAGCTACAGATGATGCCTACCCACACACAGCTATGGTTGCATGGGGAAGGGCTGTAGCTCAGTGGAAGAACATCTGCTCTGCACTCAGGAGGTCCCGGGTTCAATCCCCGGGTTCTCCAGGTAGAGCTGGATATCTCTGAAACCCTGGGAAATCGCTGCCAGTTAGTATATCGACGATCTTGAATTGTAGGATTACTAACATTTAGAACATGAAATTGGTAAGATTCACACGATGTGGTGAAGACTTGTGAGATCCAAAAGAAATTACTGAGATTTCCCTTGTGGAAAGAAGCATACAAGCAATCTCATGAAAGAAATGTTAGCTGCCAATGCAGAAATACACATACATTTGCTGTAGAAATGGAGGCACGTGCTCAGAAAAGCCATATCTGTCAATTTGAATTAGGTCACAAATAAATAAATAAATAAATAAATAAATAAATAAATAAATAATAGTTACGTTGAGATCAATGGGGTATACTCTCAGTTAAAGGTATAGTTTCACAGTCAAAGCTAAGTGTTTTTCACAATAAAGTTAAAGCAGAAGGCAAGCTCAAATGCAACTCTGCAGTAGGAAAATTCACCAGAATGCCCATCACGTTTTGTGAGGTGTTTAAAACTGTTTGGAAATACTGATAATGAATACTTTCTAGTGTTGTTGTTGATGATGATAATGAAGATGATGATTGTTATTAATTAAATTTGTATACTGTTCTTCATCTGTTGATATCAGGGCAGTTCCCAGTATAAAAATACAAGATAAAAACCTGAAATGCACAATAAAAACAAGAACAAAAACTACACGCACACATATATACACACACACATAGACACACACACGTGTGTGTGTAGACAAATTCCATACAGAATAGTATGGGGGTGGAGAAGAGGGGAGATTGTTTTGTCAGGCAAGCTGATGGAATGATTGGAGGAGCGTGAATTGAGTTCCTCCCAGAGGATCATAGAGTGGGAAGGGACCTTGGAGTCCCTCTGGTCCAACTTGTGTCCTTTGCAGGATCTGCAAGCGACACAGGATGCAGTTACAACACCCTTGGCTGATGGCTGTCCAGCCTGTGCTACATATTGATTACCAGATATTCACCACATTATGCATGGGAACCACAACTGCAACTAGACACAAGAGGTGACGGACAGGCGAACAGCCACACAAAGAAAACAGGCTCAGACATACAGCTATCCATAACAACGGCCACAGCCACTCAGCCATATGCACTGACCCATTCAATGGCTATTCCTCTCTTGTGGCTGCCTTACCCCATACTCCACTCCACAAACAAGCACTTTGTATCTGCATTTGTACCTGTCTATTGACCAAGTGGACATATGCACTATGGGTTTTCACCCTTTGAATATCAGCTGCTGGTGTATCCCAAACTGAAGCTTGCTCAACCATCATTGTGCAAGTCAGCTCACCCCACTTGACATGTGGTTCCCGTGACTTTGCTTGTGTGCATTGAACTCTGACATTGTACAAAAAATGTTAATATGTCGGGAGCTTAATGTTGTGTGATGATACAAATATGCAGAATGCATGGCAATTTCCAAATGTGAAAATGCGATTTTTGGGAATTATTGGGAAACTCACATTTTGAAGTTTACATTTCAAACCTCTTTTGGCAGGGCTTTCAAACAGCCCCCATGGAAGTAGGGCTCATTCACTTATCGTGCTGTAAATGCCTTGAAATCTTGGTGTATAGCTGGGGTGGGCAATCTGTGGCCCTTTAGATCAGGGGTAAGCAAACTTTTTCAGCAGGGGGCCAGTCCACTGTCCCTCAGACCTTGTGGGGGGCGGACTATTTTTTTTGGGGGGGTGAACGAATTGATATGCCCCACAAATAACCCAGAGATGCATTTTAAAGAAAAGGACACACGCTGATTCTCGGACCATCCACAGGCCAGATTTAGAAGGCGATTGGGCCGGATCCAGCCCCCGGGCCTTAGTTTTCCTACCTATACTTTAGATGTTTCTGGAATATTTGCTTATACACAATGTTTTATTTACATACCATTTCGTGGCCCAAACGCCCACAAAAAGGTTGATTAATCCTGCACACCATGAAGTCTCTTGAAGGCATTCATTCTATGCCTGTAAATCAGGGAAGGGAAGTCCAGATATTCTTAGACTCCAGCTGCCATGATCTCTGACCCTGGGCCATACTGGTTAGGGTTGATGAGAAATAGAGCCTAGCAACATCTGGAACAGTGGAGGCTAGTCCATTAGGGCAAAGTTAGAAGTGCCTCACTAACCACTGCCTGGCTTCTTACTTACAACCAGGGCAGGGAGTGGCACTGGTTGTCAGCTTTCTCCTCCTTCGTCGCAGTGTTGCCCTTGTAGAATGAAGCGGGGGAGGAGGAAAAGGAGGACTAAACTAGAATTAGTTTGCCCTGACTAAACTAGAATTAGTTTGTCCTGCCTCATTGGCTCCAGCTCCACTTCGTATTGGCCTCCCTGTGCTTTGCTTTGCCTTACCAGTCCCATGGGCAACAGCCACCATTGATCTGGAGGACTACAAGTTCCCAACCCACTATATAGGTATACTTGCCCCTATTCAACTATTGATATGTGTATGGTACTTACTTGCAGACATTTTTATCTAACTCTTTGGCCTTGAAGCAAGAGAGTGCCGGGGGGGGCAGCAAAAGAGAGAGATCCGAAGTGAGTGCCTCTTGTGCGCCACCCCCCAGCTGGATCAGGCCTATATGTACAGGCAGGGTGTTGCCTTGTGGATATTCAAAGTGCCTTTTCTAAATTTTTAGCTTTTTTAAAAAAAGGAAAATGTAAGCTTCCAATTTTTTAACTTATGGAGATAATAAGAAATACTACCCCAGGTGTGGACAGTCTTCAGTCATGCAGGGTCTACTCTTCTTATTTTCTTTTCTGTTTAATTCTTGAGATTCAGTCTGCCTTTACCAGGGTGCAAACTTTTAACACTGACGGCCCTGCCCTATGGGACTCTAAGTCAGTTGAAGTCAAGCAGGCATTATCTCTGCCTTCTTTTATGTATCTTAATAAAACTGGACTGTTCAGACACATCTTCGGGACATAATTTTTTTGTTTTTTACCAATTGGTTTTTATTGGATTTTTATTATTATTATTTACTCTAATATTATATTTTTATGTTGTACACTGCCTTGATTATATTTTTTATGTAAGTGTGGTGTATAAATATCTAAATAACAAAATAAACATGCATCTATTTAAATTATAGTAATTATTTCTAAATTCTAACCTATCTACCCATATTGCCTCTGTCAGTTCTCTTTTTCAAGGGGCTTGCATTAATTTACAAAGCCCCCGAACAACTTAGGGATCACCTGAACCCTTATATCCCAGCTCAGTCACTGAGATCTTCTACAGGAACATCATTGGTTGTTCCCCAATCCCCACATTGGTGAAACTTACTTGACAACTGCAAGATACAGAACTTTTAGTGTCATTGGCCCAGTATTGTGGAATATTCTGCCAAGAGGGATTTAGCTGGCGCCTTCTGTTTCAAATTTTAAGTGCCTGTTAAAAACTTTTTTATTCTGCCAGGCAATTAAGAATACAACTTTCCACAATAGTTAATTGAAGTCTGATTTTTATCTTTTTTTAATATGGCTTTTACTATGTGGTTTTATGTACTTTTGTTGTAAACCACTTTTATGTTTTATGAAACAGTGGAACGTAAGTATTTTTCATAAAATAAGTAAGTAAAATTATCATAAACAAATTGTGTTCAAATGCGTGTAATCTCTTACCATTCTTTGGTGAGGTGTCATTACATAGCTGCTAAAGATGCCAAAATGGCCAGGCTTGGGTGTTCCATACATAGACAGGTTGCAGAATCCAACATTCCTTGGCGCAAAATTTGCACTTGTCTAGGCACAGAGCTTGAGCTGCTGTTAGGACACAGTATGAATATCATTACGTGGGATGCACAAATTGCTTTAGAAATGAGATGAGTCGCAAATGGCATGGAAGATTGTGAAGACTACAGTGTATGGGGAAAGACCATGCCCTAGAATAGGGATGGGGACTCTTTTCAACCCAGGGGCCATCATTCTTTATTATTATTATTATTATTATTATTATTATTATTATTATTACTACTACTATTATTATTTTTTTGTTTTACAGAAGTATGTGTAATGTCTCTCGTATTTTTTTCCATGTAACATTTTTACAAATCAGTTTCATTTGTTGAGACATTGGAGGGGGAAGGGGTGGAGGGGGGAGATGGAGAGGGCTATATACAGTGGAACCTTGGTTGTCAAACGTAATCTGTTCCGGAAGACCGTTTGACTTCCGAAATGTTCAACAACCAAAGCACAATGGCCAGTCGGCAAAATCCATTGGAAAAATTTGGAAATCCATTGAAAAAAATTGCATTCAAAAGCCGAAACGTTTGACTTCCGAAGTGTTCGACAACCAAGGTTCCACTGTACCCTTGTTGGGTGGAGTCAAAAGCAAAAATGGTAAGAGCAATGGATGCAGCTACACAAAACTCAGAAGTTTTTCCACCCACACACCCCTTTATATCCTCTGTGAAATCAAGCTGGAGGTATTATCAGAGTTCAAGAACATATAGGAGGAAGGATTGTTGCTGAGTCATGGAGCTTCTGATTTGCAGCATCCCCAGCATCTCCAGGCTTCTGCCAGCAAATGTAGACAATGCTAAGCTAGATGGAGCAATGGCCCAGCTCAGTAGAAGGCAGCCTCCTATATTCCCTGTGTTTCTATTCCAGCAGGGGAAAGTCCTTGAGGGGAGTGCAGAGCAGCACCGGTGATGGTGAGGTCTGAGGAGAGGGATTGTCCTGGGCTGGATATAAAGCCCTGGAGAGCTTCATTTGGCCCCCAGGCCTGAGGTTCCTCACTCACTGCCCTGGAACTCTTGCCATTCAGCAGCTGTGTTTAGAATATCTTAAAAAGCTATTTCACAAAATGGAAGAGCTCAAGTCCTTTTATGAAGGCTGTGTTTGAAAGATGATTTTTCCTAACGTTACCTTATAAGAGGAGCAAAACAGAGGAGGGAAACCTAGCAAAGGGCCTTTGAATCAAATCTGGTCTGCTGATTTTCTTTGCGGCTGCAGATTAGCCCCAATAGGCAGAGATAA